CATCTTGAGCTGGGCATGAGATTTATGTGCATACAATGGGCAGCATCCCCTCTAAGCTGCATGGTGTGCGTGGCCGCGCAGTCTCACTCATGCCGTGCTGCCAGGCACACCTGTGCATGCTGCACAGCTTAGAGGGCATGTTGATAATGGGGCTTCAACCTGTCTGAGGCCTGTAGGAGCTTTCACTAGAAAAAACATTAAGTATATAATGAAGTATTGTACTGAAAGAAATCAAGAGACGGATTAAACTACAACAGGGTTGTGAATTTCTGAACAGAATTTATAGAATTAAGCCTTAATCTTACACCTCTCCCTCAAGGGTCCAGGAAAATATAACCATAAACACTTACCAGATCACTTTTAGGTGTATCCTGATACTCTGCTGAAAAGCAAGACATAGAACCTCTTGTACCATTGCTCTCATTGGCTTGCTTTGGAGGCTGTGCATATTGCCTGTATGTAGCACTCTTAGGAGTCCAGCAGAAGAGATTGATTGACTCACGGACACAACGTTCAATGTCGATTTCTGATCAAGGATTAAAAAACAAGAAAAAAAAATACAGATATGAAAGTTAGTCTAGTGAGTTAGATCAATGATATTCCAGCTGACAAACAAGTTAAAGTTTTTAGTAACTGTGGTATAATTTGCTTTTCCTTCAAAATGTACTAAAGAAGTTTTACAGAAAAAGTAATATACAAAGTGCATGGGAGTTAATTTTATCTAATCATTAATGTTAAATAACAGCTCTTTAAAATGCAACAAATCAACACTATATGACTGTTAAAGACATGAAGGAAAAGTATTACAATCAATTAAACTACATGAATATTGTAGTAGAGGAAGGCAATTATTCACAGTAACAGGTACTTCGGGAAAGTTTCTTGGCATACTGTAAACTCAAACTTGCTTGACTGCTAGATGGTACAGTAGGAAATAAGTCAAGTAGTTCATATATTATGTAAATGTGCTTTCATTTAGTCCAAAAACCAGTGCCTTCTGTCACACTTATATAGCTGCTAAAAGCAATTACTTCCCAGACAGAAATAGTCCAGTGAAACAAAGTTATTGAGTTTGAACCATGTGGGTGTGTCCATACATGCAGGCATGTGCACTTGCAGAGATTCAAATAGGAGCAGCACAAATTTGTGCCAGGGATTTTTCCCTGAGTGCAAATGCCCAAACATGCACTTTGGTGTGGGGCAAGTTGTGCCCTTGGGGCAAAACAACCCTGCCCACCTCCTCCTGGATCTGCAGCCAGGGAGAGTTAGAGCCTGGGGCCAGCACCTATGCTGGCCCCAGCAGTATAAATACCTGCCCTGGCAAACAGCTCAGGGCTACTTGCTCTCAGGAGCTTCTGGGGCCCAAATGTATCTGGGGACACTACCCCTTGTGCCAGATGGGCTGCTGAAGCAGCCTTAACAGAGTTCCCTGCACCCTCTACCCCCTGCAGCAGGTCTGACTATGACCTGCTGCCATCTGCGACAGCATGTGGCCCCAAGGCTGCATGCCTGCCAGACCTGGATAGGGACTGCACAGCCACAGCAGAGGCATCTGAACCTCTGAGCCTTCTGCCACTGGGCTGTGGCTGCACAGTTGGCTTTTGCATGGCACTACTGCCATGTGTACCACTCCCCTGTGATCTAAGCAAGTATCACCCAGAAGATGTTCTCAGAGTGGTGGCTTACTTTCCACTGTCATCATGTGCCCTGCTGGCCCTAAGTGGGTCCTGGGCATCAGCCCTGAACAGGCTCCTCTGCCTGGGTTGTGCCATCTACCTCACAAGCAGGAATTTTGGAGTTTCCTATTTAAAAACTGCAAAATCTCCAATAGAAAAATCCCAAATTCACTCTGTAAAATCCATGTTCTTCCACAATTAGAACAAAAGACCACTACAGACACACAGATGCTAAAAGCAATTACTTCCCAGATGGGAAGAGTCCAGTGAAACAAAGTTACTGAGTTTGAACTGTGTGGGTATGTCCATATATGCAGCATATGTTTTATTGCTATATTTACAATGTTAAAGCAGTTTGGAAGCCTACCAGTGTCTCTATCATCATAATTAAATAAATTCTAAATATCCATATGATCTAATATTTGCTTTTGGTTTTCTTATCACAGGATGGGTGTGGGAGGGATGTGGGGGGATTGTGTATGTGGGGGAAGCTGCTCAGGACAGGTGGGTTCCCTGCCCCTCACAGGGGACAGCCCCTCCCCCAACACATGGACCACTCCCATCCCGCAGGGCCCCAGCCCGCCTGCAGGGCTACAACCCCCCCTGCAGGGTCCACAGTTCCCCCTCCGCAGCAGCAGTGGCACTCACGGCCCAGTGCTGTTGGAGCTCCACTGTGGCGCAGTGTGGCCCTGATTGCCTCAGAGCCAGCGCTGCTTGTGCCACCTGTCGTGGGTGCAGCCTGGTCCAGCGTGCCTTTCTGCAGTCCCAGGCTGCTCATACTGTCACCTGGGGGCAGCTGCTGCTCACAGGG